AAGATGAGTAGTATCAGCTTCATGTCACTGAAACTCACCGTCTGAATATCTTCAGGTGGTCCAACGATACTGGTCGACCCAGTATCGACAGCAGCATCCACAGCTCCGCTGATTATCGGGTATCCGTTGACAGTAAGTTTGATCAGCTTTATTCGCCAGACGTCCGCAGAAACCAGCGGCACCCACGTAATTGTACCCTTCGGAGCTATCATGAGGGTGCAATTCGGTTTCGCAGTACAGTTTGAAAGAAGAAAGAAAGAAGAGAAGAGACCTGTCATGTGAAGCAGAGAACACGACGATAGGAAGAAGTGAAAGTGCAAAATGCCCCCCTCCCCGCCCCACCAAACCGAACTGTGCCTTTATTAGTTCGATTTGTAGACGTTTTCAAAGATGAACCTTATAATGGGAATGATCAATTCCACACAGAGTCATTTCTCCGCCGACATCATTGTTGTAGAGATCGCGATTCAGCCAGAAAGCGAACACAGCCTTCGGGCATAGTTCCTACAATGGCGATTATTATCAGTATCATGAACTATCCACGTTCAACATAATGAACATTTGCTAACTAGCGCCCCTGGCGGGCGGTCGCGATGCTGGTTCGTCTTCGGAAGAATCGTGATGGTTTCCCCCACTCTTCAAAAGGCCCTCTCGCAATTAACTTTGGAGTGGGCATCTAGCACTGGCGCTATTTTCCATGTTCATGTTCGTGTCAATTCTTGCTTTGCGAAAATTTACAGGTACACTCCACACGAGTTAACAAGTAGTCCCTACGAACTTTGGATGGTACCATTTCATCGCGTCACAGGGCTTTACTTTACAATAATCTATTGACCAGTCGGATCGCCCGGCTGACGCCGAGCTCTCCTCCTTCTCTTTAGCTCGGCTTCGCCGAGCTGGCCTGGCTTCGCCAGGCGCGCTCCATAATGGGGAACGGAACTCTTCCAATCACTGCGTTGCTCATACAGCTCTGTATTGGTACAATCATAACAGATAGAGCAACCCTGCGGATCCTGCGTTCCTAGCAAACGCTTATACTTGCGGTCCGCGCCATAACGCCCATACAACACATAGACCTATAGATATAGATACAAAGTGCAGTCGATCAATATAGCGCTCGCTGAAGTATAAATAATTTTAGGTACTTTACTCCCTTATTATTTTTTCTCATCATCTAATGAAAAAAAGAAACGAAAGAAAAAAATTCTCAAAATTTTCCTGACTTTCCTGTTTCAGGCGTACTACATACCCCCCCCCTCCCCCTCCCTCCCCCCCCGCTCGTCGACATCGACATTATATAGAGTAGGATAGTGGGATGAGTTCATTTTCTAGTGTTATCAGGAAAGTGTTGGCCAAAGGAAAGTTTCACAATCTGAGCCTCGAATACTCGGCATTAAAGCGGTGAGAGGTTAGCGCAGATGGTATCGTATCAATTTTTATCGATTGATAAGATTACCTGTCACCCGTCATCAATGTCCTCATCACTAAATCTCTATGATTTGGAGCGTGAACCACCTTGAACAGCGACGACGACTGCAACCTCCATTATCAGCCCCTATCAGTAGTTATCGCTTCTAGTCACCCACGGTTGATGTTCCCAACTCACTCTCTATATCACTTGCTGAAACGCACGCCTCGCTGATACTGTGACCTGCGCTATGAATACGATGACCTCACTATTCTAACGTCCCTTATCGAATCTTATCAGCAGCTTACAGTTCTTATTACCCACCAATAATGTTTTTGGCCCTCATCCTATATCATATCTCGAAATCAAGAGCTGACTGATGCTGTGACCTGCGCTGTGAATATGGTAACCTTTTCCTTCTAAC